GATTCTTACTAATTTATGGGGAAGAACTGGTTAACATCGCCTTTCTCCATTTTGCATTTACTAATTATGACTTCATTTAGCCCTTATATTAGTGCAACAAAAAGCAGCTGTCAGGCCAAGCATGCTCAGTCCAAGTGACCTTGTGTTCTTGTTCGTGTTTACCACATAATCAGCAGGGAATTCCATTTTCAAAATACAAGACTTCATAATCCATTAGCACTAGAGATTGGTCCAGGGCTCTGGATTTACTGGTCACGTGTACCAAGGAATAAAAATATGAGTGTACAGCTAGATTAATCTCCAGACCCGTAAAGCATCCCAACCCACCGTGCATGCATCAGTCTCATTCAAATTCACATATGAATATTAGCATCATTCTTAAAAGCTACTGCTAATACCATCCCCACAGTACATGAAGAAAAAATTAAATGCTACCTGCTTTACAACTCAGAAAGTATGAATACACACAATAACTAACTCCACTTCTCAGATTTTCCATTTGTTTCATAAATGGAACATAAGTACTGATGTTCTAATTAAGACATCGACAACCCATATTTCCCCCCAGCTATTTCTAAAAATCAGGAATCACTTTCACTGCTCTTAATTTTAAATCAAAAGTCTTTAGCGAGTCTAAGCAGTTTAGCTCACCATCAAGTTCAATAAATCAGAGAAAAGAATCAAAGGAAAGCATTTCAAAATGTAACCTTGGTAACGCACAAAATGCTTCCACAGAACTTACGCTCATTTGCTTTATTTACTGCTTTAGAAATTGGAATATAACACATAGGCAGAAGGACATTAGCATCACGACATTGCATTTCCCGAGCCTAACATTGCACGTGCTCTCCTAGAAGGCGCTTTTCGCAGTATGCTTTAAAAACCTGCAGCCTGGCAAGTCAGATGATTGAAAACTAATCATATTTCACGTTGACAAAATGGAAAATGGACGTGTTCAATAGAAAATAATAATCCATATTTATTCTTTATGTCCGTGCACAGCACTTTAAACCTAATTTGGTCCATGCTTTCCTGTGATAAAATGAGAATAAACTCAATGGTGATATACAGCATCTGCCATTTGAAGAATCAACATCTGTCAGTGTTACCACACAATTTTAACTGCGGTCCTACACAGTTCTCCTGCATGCAACACTTAGATTTAAAATGGCTATTACTCTACGTACCATTATGTGCTCTTTGTTGGCAAATACCCATTTTTAAGTGGCAACACCATTATTCAATATTTATATAAGTCTCCCAGGATAAACAACCTCTGACTCATGTTGAGATAGAAAACTTCAAAATATTTTGCTGCTCATCTCAGTATTCTGTAACGAAGACGTTTACTAATTCTTATCCCAGCCTGATCTGAAAGGCATACCATCATCCCCACAGCTCATCAAAGTTAAGCAGAAAAACCTTTTCTTTAGAATAGCCTCTCCTGGCAGCTGGAGAATGCCAAACAAGTGCAGTGAAGTAGGATCCTTCTCCGCCCTTTGTACATCTTCCCAAAATACCAAGGACAGTCTCATTTTGGGTAAAGATTCTGAACTTCTAAAGATTACTACCCTTCAAACTGCTCGGTTTTCCTCCTGGCTGTTTTTTTGAGTGAAAAAGAGCATTTCTTTCTCAGCTTCACTAACGCTTGCTGTTTATCTCCTACTTGAATCGAGGATGACCTTCTAACAGTGGCAGTTGCCTGCTACAATGGCCCCCAGCCATAAAATGCTGTTCAATTTCATAAGTTAAATAAGCATCAGAAATAAAGTTCGGCTAAGGAAATAAAAAGAAAAGTAGGTTTTTTAGTCATAGATTTCAAACCAATAAAGGAACATTCACCATAATGGTGTTAATGAAGACTATTTCTAAGGCAAGCACTCACTTCACGGCTGGTTTTTCAGGGTTTTTTCTCCAAAGTAAGCATCACAGGCTTGCATCAAACCATCAGCTGTTCCAAAAAGGTCATCAAAAAAGCAGAGTTCAGGCATGAACTGTTCTCCTTTTCAACCCTACCTGAACCCTATCTGCTGTCACACATGGAAATCTGCCCAAGCTGAAAACTGAGTCTCCCCCGAAGCCATGCACACCACCACGTGAAGGCTGCCTCAAAAAAAAAAAAAAAAAATTCTACTACACGTAATCCACCAAGTCAATGTTTTGTTACTTACAAGGCACAGCATGGCGATAAAGGTTATCTCTAATAGTCTGCTGCAGATCGTGATCTGGCGATCCTTTCTGAAACCTCTGGTTGAGATAATGTCTCAGGTCTTTGTTCAGTCTGCTTCCTGCAAAGAAAAAACAGCCATTTATTTATTTCTAAATGCACACAATTAACATTTCCAATTCAGGCGAATGTTAGACTTCCATTCAGAGTCCCCTAAATTATGGCATGCTGACTTTACGAGCGGAGGCTCATCTTCCTCTACAAATGGCCAATTACCAAAAATAACTTGCTGTAAACAAGAGGTCTCTCTTGTCTCATAATGCATCTTTCTTCCTGTGGTGTTAAACAGATCATCATTCCTTTTTATCACTTATTTGTCTGAGCAAATGGAGAAAGACAGATGATGTAAAAACGAAGAAAAATAATAAAGGTAGAGTATTGCTTTTGCAACTCACTGGAGGGTGAGCTGAGCAGACAGACAGAAGGCAAAGGCTGCTCCCATTGGAGGTACTAATATAGCTGAACATGGCACAAAATCAAACAAATGCTATACTTTGCACTCGTATATACCCCAGCACACAGCAGGAGTTAGAAAAGAACTGATTGAAGGAGTTAAGAGCACCCAAAGTCCTTAAAAACAACAGAACAATATCCAACACATTTCACTTAAATCTATTTATTTCCCCATTCAGTTTTGAACACTTTCAGAAGTGTGTGAGAATAAAAATAAATGAGTTGAAAACAAAACAACAACAACAAACTCACCCCCCCCCCAAACCCCCCAAAAACAAAGAAAAAGAAACATAGTTGTTAATGAATGTTGCTAGTTGCTGAACACCAAATCCTTTCTTGTAGCAGAACATATGAACTGGAGCAACTTAATGAAGTCTTTTCCCAGAAATGAAATATTTCCAAGTCTGGAATAACAGTGACATTAATTTGACTGAAGAGCAAAAACAACCCCACAAGAACATACGGAGAACGGGGATAGAAACTCTTATGTTCTAAAAAGAAAAGAAAAAACAACACTGGAAAAGCTTCAGAGAAATGCAACCAGGATGATCAAAGCCTGGAGCAGTTGCCATACGAGGACCAAGAGGGTGGGCTGGGATGCTGCAGCCTGTTGCGGACATCGGCCTCCAACATGCCCAGAGCGCGGGTGGGGACTGACTGCTCCCTGCCGCTCCAACACAAGGACTAGGAGACACCAATGAAAGCTAATGGGAGCTCGGTTCAAAACCACGCAACAGCGGCAGTGGTTCACACAGGCTGTGGCAGATCTCCTTGGTGGAGAGCACTGTTGGTGCAAGAAGCTTATTGAGGAGCTTCAAGGGGAGACTGGAAAAGCACTTGGAAGATGGACCCATTGGGGGTTGCAAAAGAGGGTGTAGGAAATCCCTTGAGCTGAAAATTAATTGCTGGTGGCTGGGAGACCTGGCAAAAGAAGTGAGGGAATATCAAGTACCTCGCTCTTTTCCTTTCCTTTGCGAGACATCTTATTTATGGCCACAGCTAGAGCCAGAATGCTGGGCTACGTGGACCTTGGGCTGAACCACTGCAGCTGTTTCTATGGTCTTTTATAATTTGCACTACGATTTTTTGGATTGTGAATATGTAATGCAGAGATCATCTCAATACTTGTTGACACTGAACGTAGCAGCACAGTTGCAGAGTCCTGGCTGGAGCCTCTAGGAACCACCGCAGAACAAATCAAGAATAATAATACTGCAATGGAGCGCGGTTGGACAGTGGGTCTGGGAGGCAGCAGCATTACCAGACGAATGAGAAAAAGAGTGCAGACCATTACATGACCATGGGCAGGAACAGCCTATCTGCCTAACGCAGTCCTGCAACATTTTAACAGAAATGCTAGTTTAAAAACAAAACTAAACACAAAAACCCATAGTCTGAAATACTAAGCCAAATTCTAAAAAATAAATAGGTGATTTGTATTTAGGTTCTCCAGACAGCTTTTTTTTTTTTTTTTTTTTAAATTAAATTTCTTACTGAAGAAAGGAAGGCTTAGGCAGCAGGCCCAGCTATTAAAAGAAGGAACGTTTTTAAAGACCAAGATGCTCATTAGAGAAATGGCTCAAACAACAAAACTGAAATTAAGGCAGATAAAACTGGCTCATCACACTTCCCTGAGTTGGTAACCCAGCAACACCCCTCACTCCAAGAGCAGATTATCAACCCATTTTCTAACAAACGGTCACCAGTTATTACACTATAAAAATGGTTTCCCACATAGGAGGCACGTGAAGGGCTTGGTAGTTCCGTGGGCTACAGTTTTCCAATCTCAGAGCTGACCTCCCAAACTCCAGATGTTTGATTTCATACCACGTTGTTTTACTCCAGAGGGAGACTGGGCACCAAAAAAAGAGCATCTGCTGAAATAATAAAGCATCTATTTACCTTTTAATTAAACAGTCCATATTTTTCTTTGAACAAGAGATAGTAAGACAATGTGGTTTCTCATAGCAAAAAGAACAAATATGACAAACAGGTTGGACATAATGCAATGGCTTATTCCATTTCTTCCAGTGAAGAAATTAATGCACTGAGCTGCGTGTATCATATAACTTAGGCTTTCTCCTGAAATACTGTGTGATTCATGATTCAATGATTTATGTCACAATAATGTCTAGAGGTGAAAAAGCTCTGCTGAGCTAGGGCTTGTTTGACCACAGAAAATATGCAATTTACTGATGATATCTGCTTTTAGCTTCCCTCTGTGCCTATTCCATCTAGCATCTCAGTCTATTACAGCCCCCGCTGGAAAGTTTGGTTATTTGGTTTATGCAGTAGCTGGGATTTCCCAGCTGAGTCACTAATGCACTAGCCAAGATGGCAGTTGCAAAAATAGGGGCTATAGCAATATTTACACTCACATGTTTGTCCCTTCAGGGAGCTCACAGTGATGCTTATTTCTATTGCATTTATTTTAAATGGGGAGAAAAAAAGAAAAAAGGGGGGGGAACGAACCACAAACGCTTGCTAAGCCACATTTTTGTTGCTAAATTCCAGAAAATTCTTGACAGAAATAAAGGCTTCTTGCAGCCCTGACGATAGCTCAGGAGCCGCTGAGACCACAGCTGTGGACAAAAGCAGGCTCACCCCATGCAACACACTCCAGAGCATGGAAGAAGAAAATGAGCGAAGACAGAAACTAACACCATGTAGAAAGCTGCCAAAAGGATCCACCCTGGAACTTGTTGGATTCTTTACCATTTGAAATGTTTCAATCCACTCTGATTATCTTTTCCAAAAATCTCCTCAGGCTTGAGAGGGCATGCCAATGCTTGATATTGGCATTATTTAGTAGATTCTAGTACTAGACACGTTTATAAATTCTGATAATTTTTTTTTGAGTCTGAAATGTATGCTCCTACAATTCCTGAGAATCTGAAAGTTATGCCAGGGACATTTCACCAACCTCCTGTGTGCAAACTGTAGCAGTAAAGCTCATTCTGATCCTCAGGGGCACCCCTTGCTTGTGCACACTCCCTCTGAAAATGAGTCTCACCTGCTGATGGCTTCTGTCCATACACCAACCATCACCAGGCTGGGTTGAAAGGCAGGTGCTGGAACCACCTGATTTTATGCAAAAGCCCTCCCTTTATAAAGTTAATTCCATACGTAAGTTGTGCTCAAGAAAATGCCTGGCTCCAGTTTCCTTAGAGATGAGCTGTGTTAACTAGAAGTATACTACTACCCTTCAAAATACTCCTCTGTTCTCAAGGAGATTGGATCTTATGTTTACTCTTTTGAGATCCTTTCTTTTCTTCTCTGCTAAAAGCATGTAAAGAGATCCTACAGCGATAACAGTGGAGGAACAAAAGATACAAGCCAGAAACAGCAGTTTCCAAACCAGAGGACAGAGGTCTTATAAGCTAGTGCTCAGCTCCTCCTTCCTGCTGGCCAGGATATGTTGCAAATGCATTTATTTGCACACAGAAAAACTACCCGGTTATTTCTGTAATCAAAATTAGGCTGATATATCTAGCTTTAGAAAATCAGACATTAAAAATGCAAAAAGAAATTCTTCCCTACTAAACTCACCAAAATTCATATTTTAAAGTTTTAGAAGTAAAACCTGTTCAAAGATTGGGTTTTGTTGTTGCAACAGTTTCCTTCCTTTTTTTTTTTCCCCACTGAATGAAACCAATGCCTTTCCTTATGTGAAGATACAGTCAGAGAACCAATTTTCCACTGCTTCTCTCTGTATTGTACTACTCCAAATCTGAGAAGTTTCCATCTTACTATCTGAATTTTTCCTTTATCTTTGAATGAAACAAAGGGCAACTCACCGAATGGCTGGTTTTCTCAGTTATTCTTAATTATTACACTGCCTTTTAGAGTACGTCAATTGTTCTCCCAAACCATTACATCATAACAACAACATTTTAGTAGCAAAAACAAACCCCAAGGGGGAAACAAAACATCTCTCCATAGAAAAAAAAAATATTACTGACATACAGTTTTCTGAGAAACAAAATGTACTTGTCCATTTTGTGGAGGTAAATATGTAACCTAGATGTTTTTGTGTTTAATGAAAAATATTGACTGTTTCTAAATACACTTCTTTCAAACCCTCAATCCTCTGTCACATATTTGTCCTCCAACAGTTACCTAATATTAAAGTCACTAGAGAAACTATGCTTTGAATTATGCTCTGACGCTTATTGCTACAATTTCCAGTTTCTGCAGGGAAGAAAAATGCATACCAGATCATCTAATGCTGTCTTTGCTGCATAAGAACATCCATCTCTTCCAGAGCACTACCACCAGCGAGCAGCAGTGCAGACCTGGGGGGCTGCAGGCTTCTTGCCTTATTGACATACGAGCTTCCAATAACGAAAGCAGACTGCATAAATGACCAAGCAAAATCTGAATTTGTTCAAGAAAAAGCTGAGCATGAACATCGCAGGGCTGACAGCACCTTCCTGCCAGCTGGTAGATAGTCCATGCCAGAACTGTGCAATATGTGTATTCTGAAGATATATTTTGAACTCATGTTTTATGCATTTGGAAATTATCATTTTATAGTTTATATTAATTACTGCAGCTGTTTATCCCATTTATGTTTTGAGATGGTCATAGATAATCCTGG